CCATGTCAGCTCTCCCCAGTCACCCCCCATCACATCTGGAGGGCTGTGGATGACTGGAAATTCCTAGTACGCATTCAGAAACATGACCCCTGCCAGCCCCAGCTGAGGCCAGCCCCACCAAGGGCTCTGTGAGCCAGCAGGAAGCCACCTAGGGGAACTGGCACAGACTGGTGCGGAGAGAGGCACCCCCTCCCCTAAATAGAAAAAGACTTCGAGAGTACAAGATTGGGACAGATTCAAGTACGCAGCTTGGGAACTTGTGACAGTTCATACTCAGCAGGAAAACGTCTCTGAAATACAAAGCAGCTATCTTCCTTTCGAAATATCCAGAAATCCAGGGGGCAACCTTTCTAGCATAGTCCCAGGGCTGGAAGAGTGTGTGACGGAAGCTGAAGCCTCTGGAAGGCGGGGGAGGAGGTTGGAATCCAGGGCCAGGAGCACAGACCTCAGAGATTAACATTCCCAGCATTTGGCTCGGGTGGGGTCCTCTAGAGCCTTCTATGGAGGAAGGGGAGAGGGGCAGGAGGGGACCTAGCCGGGGCGGGAACGCGGGGACTGGCACTGAGAGGCGGGATGGGAAACAAGAAAAGTGAGAGTCGCCTGGCACAGTGCCTGGTACCCAGTAGGCGCTCAAAAACGAACCGAGCAGCCCAGGGCAGACTAGCCAACACTCTTAACATTTTGGGACGCTTTGCCGCAAGCCCCCGTCCCCGTCTTGTCCCCTCCCAGAGTGCCACCTTCCCGAGGTCCCGGCCCGATCGCGAGCTTACCCTGGCTGGGACCCCCGGCTGCGCCCCTCTTCCCGGGGGCACCTCGGAGGGAGGGGAGTGCTTGCCCCATGCCGTTGCAGAAGGCTGAGAGTGGCGAGGAGCAGCGCGGAGAGGGGGCAAGCCACCCTTCCCGGCCACCTGTCCGGGAGGGAGCGGGCCGCGGCCACGGAGAGTCGGGGGCCGGGAGCCCGGGAGCGCCGGCGGGGGGCTAGCTCTGGGCCGGGAAGTGGGCGCCCAGGGCCGCCGGGCCCCGGGAAGGAGACTCACCTCGACTGGAGGAGCATGCTCAAGCCCAGGAGGAGCACGAGAACTCGGGGTGACATCGCGGCGGGGAGCGGACACGACCACCTGTAAGCGTGCGAGTGGCTGCGCGCGGTCTGCAGCTCCGCGGCAGCAGGTGGGGGTTTTGCTCCAACTTTCGCTCCGCCCACAGCCCGGCCCCGGCCCCGC